GTAGGAGGTATAAGTTAAACTTTATTTTTGTACTTAGAAAAAAATCACACGACGTGGTAACGGACTTTTAAGATCTTTACTCGTTAAGAGCTGGCAAGAAAATCTTGTCTAACATGAGTATTTTCCACGAAAACTAAAAATGCGGAGTGAGATCGGCATGTACTTGGGGGTAGACGAGCGACTTGTCAAAATTAACCATTAGATTGGTCAACAAAATATTCCAAGAAGGGGTAGGAACCGCCCTAACAAAATGTTTAAGTTCAGGTCAACTTTGACCTGAAGAGTGTCGACTACACCGTCGCTCGTCATCTAACGGTTAGACAGTCATAAACATAAATTACGCTGGGCCTTACTAAAAATGTAAAAACATATAAAAATTTCGGAGTTACAAATTACCCGCACTAAACCGCTGCAACGGTAACGGTCATTTTCAAGAATATTCTAACTGAAATAAAAATACTGTCTTAGAATACTAAAATTGAATCCCAACAGTATCAGCTCCGAAACGTCGAAACGTAGTACAATTTCATACAAAATACCAAGAGTGTTCTGGAACGAAGAATATGCTGACATAGTTTTTATTTACGATTTCTGTGATGGAAATTCTCGAGCTGCCGTTAGAGAATATCAGCGAAAATTCTGTAACAGAAAAGTGCCATATTTCGCAATGTCAGTCTTCACAATGCCCTATGATGTCAAGCTCGCATTTGCAACAGGACTTTGAAATGGGAGCATAAACTTCTTTTTAATGTAATAAAGTATGATAATAAAGCGTTTGCAGATATATGTGCATATAACATTTTTTCTTATTTTTACTCATAGGATATACCGATGTTTGATCGTTTAATCCGGGGACATTCTGTATAATAGGGAACATAGAGTGCGTCACGCAACTGAGATTATATCTCAAATTTCGTAAGTTTCAGGAAAACACTGTTGAAAGAAGAGTTGAATGGTATGATAGTGTCTGTTTTTATACTTCATCTTCCTGAGTGCACTCACAAATTGCAAATGCACTTTTTTAAATAGAATTGTATTAATTCCCATCAACAACTCGGAACGTTCTGCGTAAAGTATTAATGCACAATCCTTAAAAAACGAATGCATCGTGTAATATTTCACAATTTTGATAAATTAAACGTTTCATGAAAGATATTCACTTGGATACGATGCATGCATTATAACTAATTACCTACTACAAACTCATTTTGGCGGATGTTTTGGAACACGGAGATCAGCACCATAGTCATTACACTCGCCTGACCTTAATTCTCTTGATTCGATGGGGTTATCTAATAAGTAAAGTACACTTACGTTTATTTGTTTTTGTAAAAGAAGAACATTGATCAAGCATAAACGACGACTATATTGATTTCGTTATAAAAAATTTGAAGGAACACTGAGTGATGTGCTTATTTGGAAATGGAAGATTTGAACATCTTTGAACTACACTTATCAAACATATGAGATGTCTCATGAAATATTAATTTTTTAAACTTATTTAATATTTTTTGAAATATTAACATTTTACCTTAATACGAGTGAAAAATGGTATACAATTCTATTATAAAACAGTGCATTTGTCAGATTCAGATGCATCGTCGCATTTAATCAAAAATCTTATAAAATTGAATATTATCATATTTACCTTTTTCCTTTAACAGTGTTTACCTAACACTTAATTCCAGATAACGATATTTTTTACTCGCTTTATTTGACTAAGAATTTTCACAGAAATTAATAACGTGATATATTATAATAAAAAGCCTAATTAATATATTTTGCATGAAACTTTTGAAGTAGCCACAGATCTCCTGTTTTGAGGCCCCTTATATACCCAGCTACCTTTAATATCGATTAGCGATATTCATTTAAGCAGGTGTTGCCCGTTGCGGCTATTTAGCATTTCCAATTAAAATCACTTTATCTGTGAAAATCCATTTCATCGTCGACGACACCACGGCGAATTTTAACGTTTGCCCGTGGATTGAAATTATTTCGATTTTACGACTACGACGAACTACTGTGTTACGGTAGTTGTTTTCGTCTCGGAACGTGTACACCATCGGGGATAATTAAACATGGATTATCCGGAGTGCGTTTAAGCGTTCGCCGGCGCTAATTGGGCCGGAAAGAAGACAGTTATTGCACGGGACAATATTTCACGATAACGAAGCCACGGAAATGGGGCAACCGGAAGCGAACGATCGATGAACGTTCTCAACAACGCCCCTTTTTCTCGTTGCTTCGGCTGTACACCGGCTGTTTCCGGGTTTTCTCGTTAACTTTAAGTAACGTGCAACAAGTGTTGGCCGGGATTATGTCTTGCGGCGAATGAACGAGATCACCGTGCCAGGATAATTCTTCCTGCTGATCTTAATTAATTAACTGCACTGACTGTATGGTCTTAAGAGATACTTTTTTCGTCGAACGTCTTCAACTGATTGCACTGAATGTATCAAGGCAGAAGATCTTCTTGGGGTCTGAAGGTGAAGAATTATGGAACTTAGGAGGATAGGGGGTTCATCATTTGAACATTTGGAATTTTCTGAATTATGAGAATTTGGGAATTTGGACTTGGGAAATTCTGGAACGTGAGCATGTGGGATATTAGAAATGTGGAAGTTTGGGAATTTGAAAATTTGGGGAATTTTAGGGAATTTTGGGGAATTTTGGGGAATTTTGGGAATTCGGGGAATTTGGGGAATTTGGGGAATTTGGGGAATTTGGGGAATTTGGATAATTTGGGGAATTTGAGGATTTGGGAATTTGATGGTTTGGGAATTTGAGGATTTAAGAATTTGAGGATTTGGGAATTTGAGGATTTGAGAATTTGAGGATTTGGGAATTTGAGGATTTGGGAATTTAAGGATTTGGGAATTTGAGGATTTGGGAATTTGAGGATTTGGGAATTTGAGGATTTGGGAATTTGAGAATTTGGGAATTTGGGAATTTGGGAATTTGAGAATGTGGGATTTGGAGAATGTAGGAATTGGGGAATCTGGAAATTGGAGAATGTAGGAATTGGGGAATGTGGGAATTGTGGAATGTGGGAATTGGGGAATGTGGGAATTGGGGAATATGGAAATTGGGAAATGTGGGAATTGGGGAATGTGGCAATTGGGGAATCTAGAAACTGGGAAATGTGCGAATAGGCAATGTGGAAGTTGGGCAAATTAGTAATTAGGAAAATTGGGAGTTAGGGAAGTTAAAAAGTGAAAAAATGGGGATCGAAGAAGTTACAAATTGGAAAAATTGAAAATCGGAAATTTGAGAATTTGAGAATTTGTCAATTTGGCAATTTGGGAATCTGGAAATCTGGAATTCTGGGAATTTGGGACTTTGGGAATTTGGAAATTAAGAAATTTAGGAATTTTAGACTTTGAGAATTTAGGAATTTGAAAATTTGAAAATTCTATGCTTTGTAAATTTAGAATTTTGAAATTTTGTAAATTTACAATCTTCAGGCTTTAGTGTTTTGAAAATTTGGAAAGTTGGGATTTTAGGAATTTGATGTCCTAAAAATTTGTCAACTTCCAATTCTGCCATTTTCAGAATTTAGTAATTGAGAATTTGTGCTTATAATATTTTTTGACTTAACAAGTATCAAAATTTGTTTAACAAGCCGATTTAACAAATATCAGATTTCCTTTAAGAGCTTTTCCCTCTGCTCGTCTTATAAATAATTAATTTAACTGAATTCGTAACACTGACCACATATGACCACCTTCATGGTCGACATGTTCACCACAATACTTGCTATGCAAAAAAAGTATTATCGCAACCACAAGAATGAAAGGGTAATAGCAGCTATTAGGAATAAACGTTCTACATGTATATTTATCTTAAAAACAAGTAATCCTCTCACTCGTCGGTGCTTTCTGTACTCTAAATGAAAACTGTTCCACTACTCTACTCTAACCTAAGCGAAGTTCCTGAAACGTGATTAGCAAAAAGCAGAAGCTTTGTTTTACCACGAACATCCATTTACCACGTTCTTCTTACCAGATCTCAAAGAACGAAAAACAGCTTTTACTTCGGGATAATTTATTATTGCTTACACGGCTTATACGTGCTGGAATTTATAGTTCGTTTGTCACGTCTAACAGTGATATAGATTAAAAATGTTATCTGAAACATATATTGAAAATATATTTTAAAACATGGATCAAAAATGTGATATTAAAATATGTGGTAAGAATGTTTGATTAAAATATAGACTAAAAATGTGATGCTAAAATATTTATTAGAAATGTTTGATTAAGACATAGATGAAAAATGTAATGCTAACACATGTGGCAAAAATGTTTAATTAAAATATAGACTAAAAATGTGATGCTAAAATATGTTTTAAAAATGTTTGATTAAAATATGTAGCAAAAATGTTTTATTAAAATGTAGGTCAAAAATTTGGTATCGAAATGCATTTTAAAAATGTTTGATTGAAATGTAGATTAAGCATGTGAAATACGTGTTAAAGATATTCGATTAAAATGTAGATTAAAAATGTGACGTTAAAATATGTATTAAAAATGTTTGATTAAAATACAGATTAAATGTGATGCTTAATAAAATATACTTTCTAGTTTGTTTTTAAATTTATTATTGACCGTTGTAATACTCAAATTCCTTCAAAACTTGTATCTCTGTAAAGTGGTTAGAACTATATTCACTGAAAATAGAAATTTGTGGAGGTTTCTCAGAACAGGAATTTGAATTTTTGGAGATATGGAAAGTGAAGAACTGGAGTTTATTGATTTATAAATTTAACCTTGCTGTCATTGCCGAATAAGCAAATTATTTTCAGTAACTTGCTAAACAAAGCCACCTGACAAGAATAATTCGCAAAACTGCGTATTGCTGAAAGGACTGATCGATTTTCGTCTGCCAATGAATTCGACGATGTATAATTTCAATGGTACATAGAAATTGTATAAGATAGACATTGTTCGTGTACAGTTCTGTTATATTGAACGAGCACCGTTTCTTTTGTTTTGCAGGCAGACCTGTCCTGCAGGAACACGAAGCAAAGCGTTGGCGCGATTTATACGCACACCAACTTCGTGACATTGAAATACGTCACCGACTCCTGGGGCACCATCACGAACGGCTTCCGCCTCGTTATCACAGCCGTCAAGGATCCTAGTGAGTACATTCGTCCATGTGATAATTCTTCGTTTCTTTATGCTTTGTGTTCTCCAACACGTACGCGTTACGTATCCGCTTCCATAGGGAACCTTAAAGTAAAACTTGCTACTGTTTGTACTTCACCTTATCGCGAAAAACGTGTGGGACACGGTTGAATTTATGTGTAATTTTACACATTCCGCCATCTTAAATGACTATACGAGTTCGCCTTTTTTACAACGGTCTGAATTAACGAGAACTCCCCGTGTAACGCTCACTTGCAGTTACTTTAACCTCTTAGGCACGACACGCCACAAGTGGCTTCCGCGAATGTCGTAGATTACATAGCGCCACTATAGTGGCTCAACTGGCCCACTCATCGTTTCAATTGAATGATCTTCATATGTTTTGATTCGCACTTTTTACCTTCACCACGTTTTATAAGAGTATTAACAAATCCCATAAAAGTACATTACATGTAAATAAAAGGTAACGCCAAGTTTAGGCACCATGGGATCTCTTTGTACTGATAGATGATATTGGAAACATTTGGAAATGACATATTTTGTGAATTTTGTAAAAAAGTAAATTATGAAAGTCCTGATAGATGATATTGGAAACATTTGGAAATGACATATTTTGTGAATTTTGTAAAAAAGTAAATTATGAAAGTCAAAGTATATGTATCATATCTTTGGAAAAAATTATAATTTAATCATCAAAAACTCCGGTCCAATGTACTCACGTAGAGAATAGCATTGTCACACATTGTAGTGCTGTTTACGCGTAATTTGTGTCGAACTCTGCTGTACAGAGAAGCAGCGTAAAGTTCAGCCGTGCCTAAGAGGTTATACTCGGACATAGTTCTGACATTAGTATTCGAGGACATAGAAATTAAATTTTGAATTGTAATCATTATTTTCAACATTGTACTACTAATTTAGTATAGTACTATTATTTTAGTACAGTACTACAATTTTATAATAATACCGAAACGTAACACTTAATAAGTATTGTAATACTTCATAAAGGCTAACCTTTATGAAGGCTAACCTCTTATTTTCATCAAGACTCGGAGTATATCTCTAATTTCATCTGACTTAATATTTTTAATATTTCTTCATTATATCATCTTAAAAGTCCATACTTAAATTGCGCTTCTAAAACTAAACATATCCATTCTTATTTTAAGTACATAATTTGGAAGAAACGTTGTCTTCAGTTTATTTTAACTTTCTATTATAGACCCGTGCATACAAAAGTTACATTTTAAAAATGTTTAATTTGACAATAAGTCAAAATAACAGCCCGTATTTATACTCCCTGTACAACCACCCTCATTTTTCATTAAAAACGTTTTTTTCGGAAAGCTTTCCCGTACTCTTTTTTCGAGGAGAAATTGAGCAGCGTATCTATCCAAACGAAAAATCAGTCTCGAGCTCAAGCGGATCCCTTTAAGCCACTACTATCGATTATCTATCTTTCACGTAAAGCTTCTTCTACGATGCCTATCAAGCGTTTCATTAATGGGGTAATTCGTCCGGTGCCAAAGCCCGAATTTTCTAAAGCGACTCTCCCAAAATTCGAGGTAAACTGCTCGAGATAAACCTGCAAAGGAATCACCTGTGCGAAAATTATTGGCGATTATTCGAAATAGGAGTTCTTCATCAATTTCGTTAACCTAGAAATAAGTATTATATCTTTGAAAACGTTTTTCTGTATGAATATATCATCGATACTCCTTAACTTCAGAGATAAAAGTTAAATTCATCAGTTAGTACTTCAGTTAAATTCATATTACGGTTGACAAATTTATTATCGAATTAAAATTGGTAGTACCGAAACTATTATTAAGAATTGCAGTGTCAGGTAAAAAAGTCTTGTGCATGGTAACTTTATGACATTAATGTGTGTTAACTAACTGTATCGCAAGAGAGCGCTGCATTAGCTAGCTATTATAAGTTAGGTTAGGGAACCTTGTAAAAGTGAATGCAAATTAGCAAATATTATATTATATTAAATTTGTGTTATATTATATTTTTATTCTATTGATTCACATTTATACTCTATTATATTATAACTGTAATTATCGTATTACATTACGTTTGTGTCATAGGGTATTTGATGTATCATATTATTTGTCTTACATCAGATTTGATCTGAGCTAACTATTCCTATGTTGTATTATAATATTATACTTGCTATAGAAATATGTTTGCTGTATATTATATTACATTTACATATATTATAACACATGATATCTTTATTATATCATATCATGTTTGCATCACGAATTATTTCCCATTTAGAAATATAGTTATTTCTAGTAAAATAACCACGTGAAATCATTTGAAACATTGAAAATTTATAGACATGAAATCTTGAAAGGTATAACTGATACATCTACCTTAATATCGACAAGTTTCGAACTGTTTGCTCGGCAGTTCTGTTTGACTTCGAACATGCTGGCTTTTGAAACCATAATGTAGCACTCCATTTTACACCGAACCTCTTGCAGATCCGTCTATGTTATTCTTTTGAATCCATAGCCATTTTTTCCGAATGTATTCGGCTTCAGAATGATTGATGCCGAATACGAAAGCATCGATTTTTGCTGTGTGCATTTTACCACTGCATTTTTTCCGTTCTAACTGGAAAGGAAATCGAGATTTGGCAAAGCTGGCAATGCGGCTGAACGAGGTCCGACGCAGCTTTCGGATTTCAGAGTGATTGATGCCGAATACAAAAGCATCCTCCTGTGCATTCTTCTGCTAAAATGTTAACGTCGAAATTAAAGATGAAAGGGTTGGGAACATTCTGTGTACAAATCTTAAAATCTTTTGGTTAAAACCGCAGTTTAGGAGGGAGCTATGCATTTTTGCTTGGTCTCAAAATTTAGTTTGGTGAAAATCGATTAATCAGTAGTGACATGGCTTTAAATTTTTAGTTTTGTTTGAGGATTTATTAATATGAATTTAATGGTTTTGTTAACTGACGTATGTGTTCACAATTACACTTTATCTAGAATTATTTCTAGTTTCTTTCTTCACATTTTGTTCAAATATATATTCATTTTTACACACAATATAGGAACTAAATTTTTTGGATGATTTACTCGTGTTTTATAAATAAATATTTACTAATAATAAATATTACGAACGCATTTAATAAATATGACAATTACAAGATGATTAGAAAATTTGATAATTATGTATGCTTAAAGGAGTTACAGCATATAATATTTATAGATTAAATATAATTTTTCTTTTAGTTGAATTCTGTCAAAAATAATTTATTTTATAGGTTGCATAATTTATGTACATATTAGTGCAAACATGAATTATATATTTAGGAACAGAGTTGTTCAACATAACCTAACTTTATTTTCAAGATCATAACTCTGTTTTTATGACTATAATACAAGTTCTGTTTTATTAAACAAATTTAAAAAACCAGATGTATTATTATATTTTTTTATATAATTTTTATTATGATAATATTATATTTAAATGATATTTATTATGATAACATCTAATATATTATAATATTCGCATAATATAATTATAATATAATGTGATATTTATTGTAAAAATTAATAATAAACATGTTTTCAATATTTTGTAATAAAGCAGAAGTAATTATCTTATTTTTGAAGGTACAGTTAAGATCTTGAAAACAAAGTTTGGTTATGTTGAACCTGTCCTTATCTAATAATATATATATATATTAAAGAAAATATGTACACAATATTAAATTATACAACTCTTAACATAAACTAGTTTTAACTAATTTAAATTAGAAGCTAGATTATACTTAATCTGCATTTATACTTAAAATTTAAATAAAAGATTACAGTTTTTTACAATAAACGCACTCTCATTTTCAAATCATATAAATTACATTTTATAATAGTATCATAAAATATAAAAACCTAGAATTTATCTTCGCTTATGTTTATTTTACTACGATCTTCCAACCCATAAATACAATAAAGTTTAATACGAATAATTTTTATTTTCTTTTTACTAGTCGCCGTAAGAATTGTTATAAAATTTAACCCCTAATATTTTATTTAAACTATTAAAATCCCAACTTTTACGACATTTTTCATTTTTATATACAGATCAAAATCTCGTACTAATAAAAACTTAGTACTCATGTCACGTTATGTAAATCGTACACTGTGATAATGCAACATTGTGCTGTTGAAAATGTTGCAGCAATATAGTACACGGTATTAAAAGTTCTTTCATGTATATTCTTGTTTAAAGCTAAACAGATTATCGTGAGCTTACATGGAATTTTTTTACTTGTAATATCAAGAACAATTCCAACCATTTTTGCATGCCACTGAGATTATTGTAATCGATGAAGTGTACCTTGTTCTACATAATTATGGAAGATTGCTTGCAATTATTTTGTTGAAAGTAATCGGACACAAGGGAAATCTAGTTATAATTATTCATGTTTAAACATTTGCTTATTAAACGTTTGTCCGCATGCGAAAAGGAATATAAATCAAACGCGTTGTATAAGATTTCATGCATTATTAAAGTCTTTACTTTAGAATTAAGAGATAAATGCGCTACAATGAGGGAACATACAGCTTCAATATTTACGATGTTGATGAAACAGTTGTAGAAATATATTTATGTTTTGTTAGAGATAGAGAGAGTGGAAATGAAAGATGATGATAGAAGTGAGAGAGTTTTTTAGCGTGATCTTATGGGGAAAGGTTTGGTAGCAAATTTAGAGAGATACTAAGAAGTCTTAACAGTGGAAGTTTATAAATTATCAAATTTCTAAATTTTTAAATTTTCAAGTTTCCATATTCTCAAATTACCAATTTCTCAAATTTCCAAATTCTCAAATTTTCAAGTTTCCAAATTGTCAAGGTTCTAAATTCTCAAATTTCCAAATTCTCAAGATTCTAAGTTCTCAAATTTCCAAATTCTCAAGTTTCCAAATTCTCAAATTTCAAAATTTTCAAGGTTCTAAATTCTCAAGTTTCCAATCTC